CTTTAGTCCGTCGTAGTCGTGTGTCTCCATAAATATTATTCATGCCACAAAATCGTGCAAAATTGCATTTTGTTATGGTGAAGCGGTAAACGGTATGGCAGGTGGCGCCACATCTGAGCCCGAAATTTTATTGCCTGCATTCGGAAGCAACTTTTGTTGTAAGTTTTATTGTTTTATGAGTTAAACGTATCTCATTCACTAAAACATATAGTATTTCTTCTTGTCGTTTTTATTATGGACATATATAATACAATTGTGCATATTTTTATTTCAGTTTTTTTACTTTTGTAGTCGTAACAGACCACGATTTGAAAAGTTTATAGTAATTTTTGGATTATTGTAAGGTTTTATTATGCTATAGTTTTCTATTACTATTTTGGTATTTACTTGTTGTTGTTGGCATCAATATAATAAAAAATTTTTAACATTAATTTGAATATCGTTTACATATTAAATTTTTAATTTTTTCAAATTTAGTTGAAAATAATCAATAACAGAAAATCTGTAGCACAACAAATACTAAGTTTAATTATATAATTTGTTATTGCCAAGTACTGACTAAAGCTATTAGAGCACTTCTCAACTACATCAAATTTTTTAGTCAAATTATAACATTTCTAAATTGTAGGTATAAGTGCTCAACTTAGTAATAAATGACTATTTGAAAGGACCAGAAATTGATTTATTTTTGTTAAACGCTTAATAAATGTTACAAGTTCTCAAATTTGTTAGAACTGTTAGTTTGATTTGGCTCTGTCATTTTTGATGAATTGTTTTGCAAAATTAAAAAAAATTAATTTCTGTGCAAAATTATATTCACTTAACTCTGTTCGTTATATAAGCAAAAAATGCAAATGCTGTCCATTTTTTTATTTTAAAAACTCTTTGTCTAAGTGAATAAGCGCAAGCCATTATTTATGTTGATAACCCTAAATATTGTTAGAGGTGACCTGACATTTGGACTAGAAAATTAGAAATTGACACATAAATTGAATTATAAACTCACAAAAATAATGCAAAATTTCATTAAAAAAAAGCTTTTACAGTTTGGATGCGATTCATTACTTCAGAACCCATATTCTCCAAAACTGCCAACATAACATTTACTTAAAATTGAACGCCTCTAATGAATTGGATCATTTTTTTTTTGGCAGACAATATTAAAATTAAAAAAAGATATTTGATTAAAATTGAAGATATATACATTTGCGTTATAAGAAAATTTTTTTACATTTTGTAGAAAAACGAAATTAAATTTTTAAAAACCCCATATAATCTTACTTTTTATACCACCGCTTACATTGTCCAAAAAATGTCCGGATTTTTTGCATTTTATTTTTATGATTCTTGCAAGTGGGTTTAAAATTGATGATCGGTTTCTTTTATAATTCAAGAATTAAAATATTATAAACGATGCAGATTTAACTAATAAAAGAGTTTTTAGATCATTTTCTTCAAAAGTCATTATAATAATTTTAAAAATTGCGAATAGTGATATAAATATATATCCTTAATATACACAAAGAAAAGAAATAAAGTAGCTCTCTCTCTTATATAAATAAACTATTCATAACTTCAATTTCTCCTATAAAATTATATACTTCGCCTTCCTTATGTTGTTAGAAAATTATTATATTTAAACTGTTATACTGTATTGAACAGAATTCGCCTCAAAAAATTACTTTGTAATATACTGTTATAAAGTTTCTAGCAATTTAGTTTTAACAAATTTTTAAAATAAATAACATTTTATACTACATTTACAATGAAACGCAACCTAAAACTATGCTTATATTTTCTTTAATTAAAATGATCTGTACCAATTTGCCTGAAAGTATGCAGTATTTGATTACACACAGAAACTGCTTTAACTGTTTGGCGCATTGTGTTGGGTAATTTCCACAAATATGCTATTTTAACGGTAATATATATATTATATAAATAATAAATATATAAATATAAATGCATAACAATGCAACATGACAATAAATACATATATCAAATTAATAATATTAACATAAGGATTTATGAATGTTTAACCCATGAAGTAGATCTAGTTTAAACATAATATATATATTAAAAAACCATATAATTTAATTTTGGGATATACAAATATATAGCTGTTTTGGGTATTACCTGCTTTAGTAATATTTTACTTAGCGATATTTATTTTTATTCTATTTTTTTATGTGGTACAGACTATTGACTCTACACAGTACTTGCATTTTTTTGTTCAAAGTAAAAGCTTCGTCAATTTGTAATTGTTTATAAACAAATTTACTTGCTGTGCTATATAATAATGAATGCATAAATCACAGCTATACATAATATAATAATTAATTTTATTTTACTATTAAAATATTTTCCTTTGAAGAACTATTTATCTTTTGATATCGCTTGTAACATTTTTTATGTATCCGGATTTAAAATTTAATCAGAAAAAACTACAATCTCCGAAAAACCTATCTTCATCTGGTCTCAGAAAATGTTCAACTACAGAGTTATGATATTTATTGATGATGATAAGTGGAACTGATGAGTGGCTAACTTCTCTTCTGTTAAGGGCAGTTGCTAGCAGAAGAGATGTATTATCGTCGCTTTGCTCTCCTTTTCTCTGCTAACTTCTGTTCTACAATATTTTATTTATGTGGGTTGTGAATGTATATAGTTTATGTAGTCTCTAATGTCTTTTCTGTTGTCTTGTAATTATTATGACAGACTAAAGACGTGTTTGATTGGCAAAGTGTTAAGGATAAAAACGATGTATAATTTTTAAGTGTATTTATGATGAAGTAAATAATTCTATTTAGTAAAAGCACAGACAACTTATAAGTTGTTCATTAGTAGTAAGAATTATTTCTGTTGAAACTGTTGATATAATGAACTGTTGAGATGAGAGGCTAAATGAGGCTATGCAATGAGAGAAAGTGTTTATGAGGCTACTTTTGATTAATTGTTTCGGTAATATTTTGTAGATATATTCTCTGTATTCCTTTAATATTCTTATAATTGATATATATTAGAGACATGTATGTGTTATTTTAAGTCATAAATCCATCAAAATGTTTTCTCTTTGTGTTAGTGGAATAGTATATAGTTTAAAACCTTAAGAACTAATAAAAGCTATATATACTGAAATGATTAACTGTTAATATATTTAAGTCACGAAACCGAAAACAGACTTGGTAAACATGGAAAGAACTATTAAAATAAAGGTGCCAACTTCTTTACACAACTTCCTTAAGATGATTTGCCTTAGTGACTAGGAAATAATTACCAATAATTATGAAGAAGGAAGTAGTATTATAACGAATGACAAGATTTTAGTGGTATCGGCAATTAAGAAGAAGAATTCTTCCTTTAATTTATACTTAACTGCTTGTAGTTTATATTAGATGTGGGTTGGAAATATGTGTGAGAGTTATTTGAAATAGAAATATATTATAAATGATTAATAGTACTAAATTTTTTGTTATAAAACACCAAAACATGCCAACTTAATTAAATTTTTTAAATCACATTTTTGCTTTACACAAAAATAAATTCCACTTTTAAATTTTTAAATTAAATCTAATTAGTTCAGATATATATACATTCTTATAAGTGTACGTAGTATCAAAGCGTACATTACTGACATTATCTTTTTGTTATATTGTTTAACAACATATTTAGGTTTAGTATACTTAGATGGTTGAACGGTTTGAATATAAGAAAATGACCTAATGAAATTTTTTCAGTGTAGTTTACGAATATCGCAATTATTCGAATAACTCGTTTTATTTGATACAAATCCGAATATTCGTATTCGCTGAATACTACGAATATTGACGACTACTTCGATATAATAGGACAAAAACCATTTTTAATACTTAATTAATAAATGTGTCAGAATACAATTGTTAAGACGGAAACTTTGTTTTAGCATATAACAAAAAAGGATATAATATAAATAGTTTAGAAAGTTCTCGGATTTTCACAGTCTGGATACGGTTAAGTACTCCTACATTTCTGTAGACAGTTTGATAAAAACTTTGGATTTAAAAAATTATTTTAATTACAATATAAGAATAGCGTATAGGTTAATACATAATTTAATATAATAATTAAATTTTAAACATAAAGAATTTAATAATAAACTTTTAAATTTTTATGTGATATGAATTTAACAATTTTTTTTTATTAAGTATAATTAAGTAATTTTGAAATATATATATTATAACTACATTTTTTGTATTATATTATTTATAATTATATTATCTTTCTTGATATTATTAAAAATACTACATACATTATTATTATAATATAATTATAATATGTCATTTACTATATTACATTAAGTTTATTTTATTTATTAATAAATTATTATTTTTATCAATCAAGGTATATATATATATTGGTATTTATGTAAACATATACATTATTTTCTATAGCTCAGCTTATATAACATAAAACGTATACAGATATTATATATCATCCCTAACAAATAAATAAAAAATTAATATACAACGATTAATTAATAAATATATTGTTTATATATATATATATATATATACTTTTTTTATTATTTATTTCATATATAATTTAATTATTTATTTACATATACATATATACACAATATGTATATACAACGTATTTATATATTAATATTATATTAAGTATATATATAAATAAAGTGTGTATATGAAGAGAGTATATATAAATACATATATCTATGTATATTTAATTATACATATTGAAATTAATATTCATATACATATATTTTTTAAGTATCTATTAATAATACATTTATAATAATACATTTATATACATAACTTTTATAATTATCTTTAAAACAATTCAACCTATCCTTTCTTTTTGGTAAACTTGCACATTGGCCCATTTTATAACAATTATTTTTAATAAATTATTTTCTTGAATTCTTTTTTAAGTACTTTGAAATTTTTAATAATTATATATATATTTCTTATACATTTATAATATAATATAACAATTTGATTTATATCAAATTTTAGAGAAAATCTTTCTATTGAGGATTTAAGCGATGTGATTGCAAATGTTGTTCCTGTTGTTGCAATTGATGTTGTTGCTGTTGGTGTTGATGGTACAGCATTGTGCTGTCCACAACATGTTGTCTTAAAGCTGATATTGCTGATTGATGTTGTTGTTGTTGCTGTTGCAAATGTTGAAATTGTTGGTGATTAGTGTTAGGATTATAGTAAAAACTATGAGAATACTGCGTTGGTTGATGATGATGATGAGGATGTAGTTGATAAGCATCTAAAGAGAGATGAAAATTATTTTTATATTGTTCACTTTAAAAGAGAAAATTGTGATATAATTTATACAATAAACCGTAAATCCTTACTGATGTTTGTATGTTGATTATGGCAGCATGTAAAAAATTATTGAAATATATTATTTTATATAAATTATTAGAATGAGTACAAGCTTTCACAATAATTTTAATAAAAAAAAAATAAATTTAAAAAAATTGTAAAAAATTAATATATTAATTTTAAAATATATCAGCTCAATTTTTATTTTAAATAAAAAAGGTTACTGTGGAATGCTTTTGTACTACGATTGCTATGAAAAGAATGCAATATTTTTACATATATGACTTCTGCTCTATCGAGTTCGAGATATGACTATCCATTGTCTGTGTTCTTAAACCTATCGGTTTAGTAAAGCTTATCAATACACCTAAATTATTTTGATTAGCTGAGAGAGCTATTGTCAACAATATATCTCATTGATGCCAGTAAAACTATGTTCCCTCAAGCACTCAGATTTAATTTTTAGCAACTTGAATACGTACAGACGGTCTTTAAGAATTTGCTAACAAAATTTTTTAGGATCGGTAAAAGTGGTAATATATATAATGCAATAAATGTTGACTAAAAATAATTATAGTGATATAATTATAGCTGATAATTAAATTTAAAGAAATATTCAAATAATATGGGAAGAAATTGGATTTGACGTATTGTATATAGTTTACAGTTACCGTATCCATATCTGAATTCGTTAAATTTATGTACCTCCAGCTCAAAAAGTACCCGGATTTTGTAAATAAAACACACAAATTTAAATTTTTATTTCAAATTTATTTTATCCTCTTCAAAATATGCTCCTTCTGAAGCGATACACATATGTCAACGCTGGTATGCAGGTATGGCTTTTAGTTCCTTCGGCGAATTCTCTTTTACCGATTCAATCGACTCAAAACGCTAAGATTGTAGTTTCTTTAAAATTTACATAAGATAGAATTTATCCAAATATGCAAAAGTTTTCTATTTTTTTGATTTATTAATTTATTTACTAATTTCTGTAGCCATAACAATTCATAATTTGCTTCGGCCTGATGCGATGGTTAACTAAAAATGGATATGTTAAATGTTTAATGGTCTTGCCCGTCGAAAATTTTCGAGTGACTAGCTAAGCTTTGTGAAATTCTCGAAGCTTCGATCGGCCCCAGATATTATTTGAGGATCCACTAGTCTTGCAATAACAACTGTGACTGCGTACTTTGTACGTGTAATTAAAGTAATAATGAACAATTAAAAAAAAAATGTTGAAGATGGAATTCTAAAATTATTATTAAAAACTTTGTTAAAATTTTAGTTAAAATTTTTGTTAAAATTATGCTTAATATTTGTTAATCAATGAAAAAATGAATCACTTCCCTAACTTAAAGACAAATATATGTTATTTATAATTTACAATTTGTTTATTTTTGATTTTATTTTTAATGACGTTACTTAATTAAATTTATTTTAATAAAAATAAATCTATTAGTATCTAAATGTCTACTCTATCTACAAATGCAATATATGGAGATACTCGGTATTTGCATGTTTTGTAAAATCAGCAATTGCTCGCCTGATCAATATGTACATGACACACATTGGTTTCCACTAAGACAAAGTCAACAAATATACTATATTAAAATTAAAAATAATTTATTTTTAATTAAAATAAAATAAAAGCAAATAAACATTTAAATAAGTAAAGGGAAAAAATTTCTTGCGGTTGTGTCTACTTGGCATAAACAAAATAAATGCAAACTATAAAATTTACTTGCTAACCATATTAAATGTATCTATGTATCTTACTTGTCTGCTGGCCCGTCTGTACGTACATGCATACGTATGGTATATCTGTCGGGAACGTTTCAGTATGAGCGGTTTTAACTTGCATTGAGATCCATTTTCGAAAGGTCAACAAATGACTTAAGCAACATTATTTATGCCTCTGTAAGCATTAAAAAACCGCAAAGACAAATAGTGGAAGACCATAAACAGAAAATACTAAGTAAAAAGCAAAAGATCATACATAAAAAGGTTGTAGGCGAAACAAGTCTTAAGATAGAAATACTATAAGCCATTTGTACTATATGCTATATATTCTAAAAAAAAAAAAAAAATTCAGCATATAAAGTGCTGAATGTCATATTAGAGCCTAAAACAGGTATAAAGTTGCAGTTGCGTTGTTTGTCGTAGCCAATGGACAAGTTAAAATATTATTAAAAAAAAATAATTAAAAAATTGCACAGGAATAAAAAAAGTATGTATAAAAAAAAATATTTATATTATTAAAAAATTTAGCTTCAAAGTATAAGTACTTATTTGTGAGGTGTTGAATTTCATTTTACTAAAAATATTTTTCAGTTATGAATAAGTAAACATAAGTTCAAATGACTAGACTGTATTCAAAACATTTTTTGTAAATGGGTTTATTCTATCAAAAACAATTTTTTTATTATGATATCAAAATTCTTCAATATTTTTCTTTATATATATATATATATATATATACAGTCAAGCGTCCATAAGTCGAACGTCTATAACTCGAATTTCTCTATAACTCGGAACACAAATTTTTTTCCGTGCCGATAGGAATATGGGAAAGTGCATTCTATAAGTCGAATTTTTGTTTCAAGTATGAATCCATTCTGGTGTTAGGGGAACCCCTTTTTCCAAACCAAGTGTTTAATTTTTTTAGTCGCTGGCAGCGTGGTATAAAGTAAATGAAATAACTTCAATGAAAGTTATTGAATGAATGTACAATGAAAGTTGTACATCAAACTTTCCTACAGATGACGATAATATTGAGCTAAATTACTGGATCCTATTCTAAGCACAACGGAAAGTGATGATGAGGGTTCGGTGGATGTAAGTGTTCATCAGTCTTCAAAAATGAAGTAGAAGACTCATTCAATATTTTGAATTTATATTTTCAAACAAATGATACTACAACTGATGATCACTATTAGAGTATGAATAAAGTGGAATATATTTTTACTGAAGACAAGAAAAAAATTAAAGTCCCAAACCCTAATTTCTGAATATTTTACTTAACTATAACTTCTGAGCTTTATTTGATTGCAAATAAATAAATACCTTAAAATGTAATTCTAGTTTCTTTCAAAAAAAAAAAAAAAAAATTCTCTAACTCGAAGTCTTCATAAGTCGAACCTTTTCTTTGCAAAATTGGACTTCGAGTTATGGAAGTTTGACTGTATATATATATAGACAAACATATTTTTGAATGAAAGCTTCAGATCCAAGAATGAAAGCTACTCTATTATAATCAAAAGTTATTGAAAACAAATGCAACGTCCTAATAGTTTAATTAATTAATGTTCAACTTTATAATATTTAACATTTGGGTCTTATAAGTATTAAAAACAATTATAGATCAAATCATGCAAAATCGTTATTTTTCGATACATTGTTTTAATTTCCTAATTCTTTTTTTGAAAGTAAATAATCTAAGGAAAATCTACTATAAATCTTTTCCTGTTTATCTTAAAATTCTTACCATTAATTTTAGATGGGGAAGCATTAATATTATAAGTTACAAATCTAGTTATTTTCAAATAGTTTTACTACTACACGGACAATTCAAGAAGTTGTTACTAAGACAGTAAACACCTTATTTAGTGATTCGTGTTTTCCTAATGAAAGGTTGCTATTAACTAAATGATAGTTTCTAGTCGTTTTATCCAACGTTTCCCTAGCTTTTCTGAACCATGCTAATAATTTGATTTATGAAATCGATTTTAATAGACCCTTGTCGTCTATTAACTACTGATATTCAACTTTTTCCAAAACACGGAGATTTTGGTAGAATGCATTATTCTGATAAAAGATCACTTTGTCATTATTAACAAAGTGATCTGATATTATTATCAGGCTCTACGATTTCTATGGAGTTAATTGATACAATAAAATTTTTCGTTATTACCAACTTATTTATTATAACTAAGTCTCCCGTATATAATAATGGACCCATATTATATATCTTCGACCGTTGCGATTCTCTATAAAAATTTTTCCAAAATATCTATACATATTATTTTTAAATCAAAACGTTAAATTAATAGTCTTTAGAGTGTAAATTACCTATCCATCTTTTCGGTAAATGTAATACTGTAATCAAGTGTTATGATTTGCAATTTTTATTCCAAGTTGAAACTTTCTCGATTATTTTAAAAGCGGATATCCACTTTAATGCCGTTAACTATATCTAGTTACAAACGCACTCCTTTTTATATTCTTGATTATCATAAGGACTTTAAAACTATTGCTTTGAATAACATCCTTGAAAGAAAAGTCATATCATTACATGATTGATGTTATTACAAAGAAGAAAGTAAAATAAGTTTGTGTTTTTAATATGTCAATATCATTTAAAGGAATAGTTTTATTATAAATAAATTTTTTAATTACAAAACTTTTCTGCTAACATATGAGAGCCATTTTCGGCAGACAGTCTTATTACAAATTGTCACTACATTTTCACTTTTTTTTAGTCATGATTGTGACCAAATTTTAATTAAAATTTCTCTCTTTCTCTCATACTCAATTTTGAATTCAAAAAAAAAAATTCCGAACTAAATTCGAATCCTTATATTTGATGTGACTGTGATTCTCTGCATTCCATAGGCCCTATCATATATGACTGTTGACGCAAACTCTGAATATTTAATGCAATTATGTTATTATTTATGCACTCAGTTTCAGCAGTTATTCTCTATTGATTTTTATAATTTGAAGAGATCACCAATACTATTATATAGTATTATAAATAGTATAGTTTGCCTCCCTTCAAATAGGTAAGTAATTGATTTGTCTTCTCTGTTTTTAAATATATGATAACAGATCGAGATAAACCTTTCTTTACATTTATTCAAAATTGTATAACATACGTTATATTGAATCCTTAACGGCTCCAATTTGATGTCCTATATAACCTGATAATAGTACTCATAC